ACGTTCCAGGCACCCCACTAAGGCCTTGTCTGCATTCTCTTTAATCCTCCCACCAACCCTTTGACATAGGTAGCACTATTGCCCCCATTTTCTAGATGAGGAAACTGTGGCCCCGAGTGGCCCAGAGGACGTTGCACACTTGCCATCTTCCTCTTCACTTAATAGTGTGTTGTGAGCATCTTCCCAGGCCACACCGAGCTCTCATTCTGTTTGTTTATCTGCACAGCTGTCCACTTGATGAACAGACCAGCATTTATTTGTCCAGTCCCCCTCTGATAAACACTTAGGTCTCTTCCAGTTTTCCATGAACAGTGTTGAGCAGGGGCCCTATTTGTTTGTGTGCGTTACAGAGATGCCTCTGGTTGCTGGACGAGGGCGCCCTGGAGGGGCCCCCACTGCTGTCCCAGGTCAGGATGACAGGGGCCTGGCCTGAGGGAGTGGAGATGGGGTGTGGGGAGGGATGCATTTGAGGAAGATTGGCGGGGAGGATGGGCGAACCAGCCCTGAGATGGAGACATGGGGTGAGGGGAAGTCGTAGAGGGAGATGCCAAGTTAGTTTGGGACCCGCTGAGCACGAAGTGCTGGGGGCACTGATGGGGAGGGCATCCCAGTACCTCTCACGGTAGCGATAGCGCAGGCCTTCTGTCCGGAGCCTGTGGTCAGCAGCAGCTCCCCAGAGGAAAGGGGCTACCTTCCTCTGGGAGCCTCAGACACCCCGAGTATGGAGCCCCCCCACTTCCTCTTGGACCCCAAGGATATATCTCTGCCTTGGAGTGAGCAAGTGGCGGAAAAGATGTGGGGAGTTGTCCCTTCCCAAATGGGCAGCTCATGGTGACTTAGCGTTTGGGCTTTGAGACAGGGTCCTGCCTCAAGAAAGGAGACCACAGTCCGGAAGGGCGGTCTCTCTCAAGGTCACACAGCACTGCGGGCAGCCCTGCAGGGACTAGACCCCACCCTAAATGTGCTCTCCCTCCTCTAGCACACTCTGCTATGGCAAAGCTTGAAATCGTGGGCTTTCTGTAGGAATGGGGCTAGGCTGCCTTATCCACTCACACCCCATCTTGCTGTTCATGTGGAAGAGAGGTCCGGAGGGCAGGAGGTGGACCCTGTGAGCAGCCCCTGATTCCTGCCGCCCAGTGTGGTTTCATGTCCCCACTTTTTTTCATTCTCACCCTCGCTGTGTTATCTCAGGCAGGTGCCTCAACCTTTCTGTGCTTCTGCTTCCTCATCAGTAAAATAGGGACACTATTAGTATCTACTTCCTAGATTATCATGGGGATTTGATGAGTCAATATTTGCAAAGTGCTTAGAGCAGGGCCCAGTACAAGGTCCAGGCTCTGGGAGTGTTTGAATATTGCAGAATGATACTTGGTCTCTACAACATGGCATTGCAGGAACAAAGCAGGATGAAAATCATGTCTGTGCTCATTTAGTCTTTTGTCTATTCTGCAGATATTTCAGAGCACCTAGTAGGGATATGGAGATGGGTCCGACCCGGTCCTTCCCGCAGGGAGCTTAGAGTCAAGGGCACTAGATGGATCCCAATATACAGTCCTATGTTCATATGATGCCGGAAGGAAATGCACCGTCATGCCCAGGGGCTTGTCCTCTGGAGGCAGGTTGCCAGCGTGCCACAGCATCTCAAGCATGTTCCGTGTACTTCCTCGTGGATTCTCCCAGCAGCCCTATGACATGGGTACAGAGAAGGAAACTGAGGCACAGGGTCCCACACTGGGCTTGTAGGGCTGGGATTCACACACAGGTAGTCTGCTCCAGTACTCTGGCCCTTAACCTCGACCCGCCCACCTCTCCACAAACAGGTGGTACTTGTCTAATCAGAATCAACCACAGGGACAAAAAACACCCAAAAAACCCAAAACAAAAACCCAAACCCCACAAACCAACAAACATTGCAAGCAGAGGCCCTGGGCCACCTTAGTCTGGTCTTGAAGGACCTCTTATGTTTTTCTGAGTGTCTCAGTGGGGAGTGGTCTTCTGGGTTAGTGTGAGAGCTTAGGGGTCAAGAGCTTTTTTCTTTGCCCCCTCCCAAGTGGGCACATGCATACTCTTTGTGCTGGAAAGGCCTTCAGTTTCCAGCCCTGGCTTTCCCTCCCCCTCCATGGCACATCAGCCAAGTATACTTTCTCCTGTCCTTGATCACCTCCAGTGACAGGGGGCTCACTCTTCATCATTTAGTTCATTCTAAAGAAAGTTTGGGTCCTTAGAAAGTTCTTCATTAAAATTAAAAAAATATTTTTAATGTGTTTTTATAACTTTTATTTCCTCTCAAAGTCCCACAAACAAGTCCCCTGTTAGAGCATGCACCCTCTGAGGCAGGACCTGGCCAGTTCATCTCTGTGTCCCCCTGTGGTGACTGGCAGAGGGCTTGCTGTACAGTTGGTGCTGTGAATACTATGCCAGGGAGCAGGTGGGTGGGGATGTGGTGGTTGGGGCTCAGCCTCCATCGAGCCTGGGGCTGTGGGTAACCGGGTTAGTAGATCCCACAGGACACCAACTGTATGAGTGCTGATGGGCATCGTGACCTCAACGGATTGGGTTGCGGTAGAAATTGGCCTTCCTAGGCCCGTTGGCATTTCCCTTGAGCAGGTCTCCCCAGGGCCTCCCCAGCCCCACATTCTCTGAGCTGGATGGCCCCCAGAGAGCATGCAGGCCACGCCCCCATTGTGCAGGCGGGCAGCCTGAGGCCCAGAGGGTTACAGGGACTGGCTAAGGTTCGCATAGGGAGGGGTGTCACAGAGCTGGGCTTGGCGCTCTGGGCAAACAGTCTTGCCTGAGGCCCCAGCCAGTCAAGGGGACTTTTGCCCATTCACGGGTTCCCAGAGGAAGTTCTGGACTAATTTCAGGGCCTGCAGCATCCCCTGGAGAATAAGTGGAGCTCATATCGCCAGTGTGTCTAGGATCACAGTATCGGTAATAGCTGATGTGGCAGGGTGACCTACTGTGTTCCCAGCACTCTGCCTTGCCTCCTTCAGTTGTCACAGTCATTTCCAGATGAAGAAGTGGGGCACAGGGGCTTCCCTGGTGGCACAGTGGTTGAGAATCTGCCTGCCAATGCAGGGGACACGGGTTCGAGCCCTGGTCTGGGAAGATCCCACATGCCGTGGAGCAATTAGGCCCGTGAGCCACAACTACTGAGCCTGCGTGTCTGGCGCCTGAGCTCTGCAACTAGAGAGGCCGCGATAGTGAGAGGCCCGCGCACCGCGATGAAGAGTGGCCCCTGCTTGCCGCAACTAGAGGAGGCCCTCGCACAGAAACGAAGACCCAACACAGCCAAAAATAAATAAATAAATAAATAAATTTAAGAGAAAAATGTGGAAAAAATTAAGATCACTCATAATGTCACCATTCAGATGCAACCACTGACACCTTTAAAAAAAAAAAAAAAAGAAGTGGGGCACAGAGGGAAGTTAAGTCACTTGCCTGAGGTCACACAGCCGATTAGGAGCAAAGCCAAGATCTGAGTCTGGGGAGTCTGGCTTCAGAGCCCACCTTTAACTGCCATGCCATACATGGCCTCGCTCTCACTCTTGCTTTTGGGGGAGTGAAGGATATTTCAGGTCTGGGAAGCTCTTAGTATCGGGCCTGCCAGAGTCAGGGCCTGATAAATCATGACCCAAGAGACAGAACCTTGATGATTTCTCTTTCTAGTCATATCCTCCCAACAGTTCTGAGAAATCTGTTTTATCCCTACTTTGCAGATGAGGACGCTGAGGCCCAGAGAGGGGAAGTGACTTGCTTAGGGTCACACAGCGGGGAGAGGTAGAGCAGGGCCTCTAGTCCGAGACCGCCGACTCTACACCTGGTGTTCGTGCTGAGACCTCAGGCTGCTTCCCAGGTCCTCTGGGACAGCCCCTGCCTTGCACCAGGTGAGGTGATGACCCATCAGGGCTGCCAAGATGAGGGAGCTGGGAGGGGCGGCCATGGTGTGTGGGGAGACCCTGGCTAGGCTCCATGAGGACCTGCGGATGGCAACGTGGGGAGCAAAGGGGGGTGGCAGGGCTATGGGCGTCACTGGGGAGTTTGCAGCTTGGGTTTCTCTGTTTCCCGATCTCTAGCCCTCCCAGATTTCTGGCTCAGAACTCTCTTAACTATTGAATAGTCACACATTCACACTCATTCATTCAGCTGTTTATTGAGCACCTACTGTGTGCCATACCCTGTGCTGGGTACTGGGAGCACAGCAGTGAACTAGACAGACAAAAGCCCATGACGATAATCATGTAATCACACACACACACACACACACACACACACACACACAAAACTGGGCCACATGTTATCAAGGAGAGGCACAAAAGGCAAGGGGACTTAAACCAATGAAAGAAGTTGGGAAACACTTCCCAGGGAGGTGACTTTTTTTTCCTTAAGAGCTTTATTGAGGTATAATTGACATACCATAAACTGCACGTTTAAGGTGTGCAGTTTGATAAGTTTTGACACATGGATGCACTCATGAAACCATCAGCACAGGAAAGCATTCAGGCAGAGGGAACAGCATGCGCAAAGGCCCTGGGCCTGGGGTGAGCTCCCAACCATCTCTCCTTAGTTGCCCTAGTTGCAACTTTTAGCACCTTTCCCCCTGGTGTTAGACAATTTCAGTCAGTCATGTATTCACTCAACAAACCCTCAGCTTTCTCCTATATGCCTGGGACATAGACATGACTCAAGATACTATCCCTACCCATGAGGGACAGAAACAGTGACTCAGAGGAAGGTGGGGAAGGTTAGGGCTTCTGATTATGAGGTGTTTCTTCTGTGCTTGGCCCTGTACCCAGGAAGCCCTTTATGGTTGCCATCACTATTCCCATTTTACAGATGGAGAAACTGAGGTTCTGAAAGGTAACTTACCCAAAGAGGCCTCTTTGGGCCTCAGTTTCCCCAACTGTAGAATGGATGGGAGTGCAGGCTAAGGGGCCTAGGCAACCCTGCCGGCTCCCAGAGCCCTTCACCCAGGGTCCTCTCTCGTCTCCAGCAGGACCATGGGCAGCAACAAGAGCAAGCCCAAGGATGCCAGCCAGCGGCGCCGCAGCCTGGAACCTGCTGATAACACCCATGGCGGCTGTGGCGGCGGCGGTGGTGGCGGCGGCGGCGGCGGCGGCGTGGGGGCCTTCCCCACCTCACAGACCCCCAGCAAGCCGGCCTCCGCTGATGGCCACCGGGGCCCCAGCACGGCCTTCGCCCCTGCAGCCGCCGAGCCCAAGCTGTTCGGAGGTTTCAATTCCTCCGACACAGTCACCTCCCCGCAGAGGGCGGGGCCCCTGGCTGGTCAGTGCGCCTGGGAGTGTGGGAGCTGGGTGGCCCTGGCCCCTCCCCCAGGAGGGCTGGGTGCCCTGGGGGAGCGACGCCCCCTCTCTGGGCTGCTGTTTCTTTCGCTCAGTGACCGGGAGGAGTCTGGGGGTTACTTGGCTTTAGGGACCATTGGGAGTTTCCTGGAGGCTTTATAAACTGGAAAGTGTGGTGCACACTCCATTGCCTTTAGGGGTGAATCCGATGTAGCGTGTAAAGGGCCCTAGAGATATAGGACTATAGGCGGAAACAGGCCAGAGAGCCGGGGGGGTTCTGGGAAGCACGGGGACGGGTCTGAGGCATTGCTCTTTGCTCTGGTCAGCCCAGAGATGGATCAGGACAGGAGGCGGTGAGTGGCCAAGGGGGCGGGGCGGGTTAGAACGGAGAAAGAGAACTGGGGTCTTCAGAGGCCCGGCCCAAGGCTGAGATGCGCCCCTGCACCCTCTGCTGGCGCTTTGTGGGTATAGCAGCGCCAGGCAAAGGATGCTTAGAGATGCAGATGTGGTCCTGGAGACACACAGACATAAGACCCTCACACAAACATGTGCATTCTTACCCGGACACCCTCACACAGAGCCCCCCCCCCCACATACACACACTCACACACAGTCAGCAACTCATTCAGAGACACCCATACAGGACATTTACACGTGCTGAGCTAGAGACGCTTTCGTAAACAGACACACCATGCACATAGAGACACACTCAGGGACACATGGATGTGCACCCTCCAGGCACAGACACACACCCAAGGCAAATGTACATAAATACAAACACACATATGCAAAAAACCTCATACTCCCAGATGGAGACAGACACATGTGGTCAGAAGCCCTTCAAAAGCACACACGTGCCCAGCTAGAAATGCCATCCCAGAGACCCACACGCTCACAGATGCACAGATGCACAGATTCAGTGAGAACACACAGGCACAGACACACACCCGAGTGAGACAGACCCACAAACATACCCATTTGTTTGTTCAAGAGACAGTTGTGGCGCCCCTTCTGTGTGCCAGGTCTCTTCTGGTGCTGGGGTCACAGCAACGTATAAAACAGACAGAACCCCTGTGGGGGAGAGAAGCAAAGAGCAAGGTGTGTAAGCCGTGCAGGGTGTTAGTGGGTGGTAACTGCTGTGAAAGAGCAAAACAGGCAGGGAGTGGTGTTGGTGGATGTGTGGCTGGAGGTTGTAACTTCACATGGGGGGACAGAGAGGGCTTCGGAGGGGACAGTTACCTGCAGCCAAGATTGTCCCTGACACACAGAAGCATCCAGAGTCATACCTCCCCAGAACAGAGCCACGTCCCCAGGTGCAGTTTCCTTCATTCACTGCTTCATTCATCTAATGGTTGTTTCTTGAGCACGTACTATACACCAGGCTCTAGGAACAAAACAAAGATATCTGTTATTGGGGACTTCTGGTGCTGTGGGGAAGACAGATAGCAAACAGAGAAGCCAACACCCAGCATCCCCTCAAGCCCGGTGGGCGCTCTCAGAGGTGGAGAGACGCACGTGCTTCCTACACGCCCTCACAAGCGTGCCGGACACACAGGCACAGGGGGACATGCATAGAGGCCCACCACCAGTGAATGGGACCAGGCCTCCGGGCTGGCGGTGGGAGACCACCCCCACCCCCGCCCAGGGTGCAGGGCTCTCTTGTCCACCTCTCCCCCCAGCCATGGTTCTGGCCGTTCTGACACGCCCCACCTTCTGTGCAGGCGGAGTGACCACCTTTGTGGCCCTCTATGACTATGAGTCGCGGACAGAGACTGACCTGTCTTTCAAGAAAGGGGAGCGGCTCCAGATTGTCAACAACACGTGAGTGCCTCCCTACCCCACTGCCCCTCAGGACCCCAACCCTGGGCCTGGTCTTGGGATAGAGCCACTTCTGAGCGTCCCAGGGCCAGCTTGATGGGCAGCAGGCAGAGCTGGGTGTCCAGGCAGTTGAGGTGCAGGGAACTGTCCTGGGGCCTCTGGGGGTGATGAGGCAGGCGCCGGTGGTCGGGGGTCTGGGACGGCTCCAGGGACAGGGATCTGGGTGCCGTAACTGGACAGCAGGGCACAGCACTCCAGATCCCAGAACCCGCACAGGGGCATGTGATCAGCACAGGACTGGGCCGGGGACCCAGGACTACAAAAAGCAGGGCCTGTGGAGCTGGAGGCTGTGCCCACAGAGAGGTTGGAGAGCCTGGGCAACCAGTAAAGCCAGAGTCTGCAGCTGTAGAGAGAGGGCCCTCATTGGGAGGGTTGGGGGACCCATCCTGGGGACCCAGTGTGAGAGGAGTCAGGATAGGGCATGGGGGTGAGATGGTGGGATAGGGTGTGGAGGGCGGGGCACCCTGGTGGGCATCTCTGCTTCACCTTCAGGGACTCCAGCCTTGGGGTGGGGCATCCTAGGGCCAAGTTGACGTATGGGGGGGATGGGGGGGGATGGGGGCCCCTGCCAGGCTCGGGGGCCCCTGTGAGCAGGGATAGTGAACTGGCGAGGGGTGGGTGAGGCTCTGGCCATGGGGTGGCCTCCTTCCCCTTCTCCCCACTTCCCTCCTTTCCTTGCCTAGAGTGCAGTGAGGTGGGGTGCAACACCTGTCATGGCGGGTGGGGGGTGCAGGCTTTGGGTCACGCGCCCAGGGGTGGTCACAGCTGGGGTGACCACACTGGGGGCGGAGCTGCCGACAGAGGGCGGGCTACAGCTCCATGCCTGCTGCATTCCCGCCTTCCGACGGCCCGGG